ATAGGTATTGCTTATTCCAGGAATATTTGATCTCTAGAACCATGTTGATGGATATCAAACTTAGAAGTTGAAGGTAAAACTTTCGCGTCAGATGTCCATATATATAGTGTGTTTGTGATTCTTTAGCATGCAATGAAAGTAGATAAAGAGACTCTTTACCACAACAAGGCTTTCCATGCGATGTCTCAGCTTTCTCTATATGAAACCTCTAGTACACTGTGAACATTATTAGCAGGATTTAATGATAAATTGATATATATTATACCCCATCTATTTGATAAAACCTGTAGTACCTATAAAATGTTTTATAAAACAAAGTCCCTAAAGGGCCTATCTGACTGATTGCAGCCAAAAATTTAGATGCTTTAAATTCATGTAGCTGATCATTAAAGAAATAGGTCCAAATTATGTAGTTTGATTATCGAGATGCTTGATTTCTCATAATGCTGAAATTTACCATTCGATTGGATTTACACATTTGGGATCTTAACTCCTAATTTTGAGATTAGATGAGAAAATGAGACTGTATTTCACATCAACTATGACCAAATTCATAAGAATATTTTTGAACTGTACTTGAATATGTAATTGTGCATTACCAAATATAACATCCAAATGGTTGTATTTCCCTCAAAATGAGCATTTAGAAATCTTGGACTGACAATAGACTCCATTAAACATAATACGCAGGCAAGTAACTATTCACATGCAAATGAGGTATAAATTTCTACAATGCTAAGTGAAAAAACAACCTGGTAGTAAACCTCTAGGTCATTATATTGACTCAACTACATATGTGTTCAAGCAAATATTATCCAATGATCTTGTTGCATAAAATATGTTTTCCAATCGCGATGTTTAGTAATTTAATAATAATATTTTTGCAATAAAGTCATATAGAAGCATAAAGAACATGTAAAGTTTACTGAGATACAAATATACTTAAGAATGTGAATATTCAAAATACAAAACATACCTCCATCATAATTCCCCTCAAACTTTCAGATGTTGGAACACGCTTTCCAACTCTCAATCGAAAATCACCAAGTTGATATTGAAAACCCTAAAAAATATAGCAAAATATCATAAAAACAAAGGAAGAGTTATATTCAAATTTCTTCCACGAATTAGAAGGATGGTATACTTACAAACTACCATAAACCATATTAAATCAGAACTTGTCTATAAAATCAACACAAAACAAAAATTAAAAAAACATAAAAAAACCATAATATACCTCCAAATCAAAAGACCAGTTTCCCCAACATTAAAAATAAACAAAACCCATGAATCTCATATAAAACTAAAACTAATGCACACCAAAATGAGATCTAGTAAAAAAAGAAAAAAAAAGAAAATGTTAAAGAAAAAATCAAAACATAATACAACAACAAGAGTAATAAAGCCTTTATCCCAGAGTCGGGGTTAGCATCATGAATCTATTCTTTTCTTTCATTCAATTCTATTATGCCTTTATCCTCTACTAAATGAGCTATAATCATTTCCTACTTAATTGCTTCAACCAAGTTCAATTCGGTCCACCTGCAACCTCTCTTTGGCCCGTTGATAATAATCATATCAGTTCTCCTCACTAGGTGCATTTAGTGGTCATTGTTCTACATGATCAAACCATTTCAGTTGATTCTCTCATTTTATCATGATGGAAGCAACCTCTAATCTCCTACAAATTCATTCATTTTATATCCTATCTTCAAGAGTATATCCACAAGACCATAATAACATTCTCAATTATGCTACATCCATTTTTTGCACATATTGTTTTTACTTTCCCAGCATTTTTGCGCATGCTGTTCTCCGAAACATAGTTCAATTCCAACAAAAATCCATCTCTCTCGCGTGACCATCAATCCCAAATCAACTGCAAGATCACAACTTGTCAACAAAACCAACACTAAATATCAAATTTAAAATAAAGAAACAAGAAAAATACCTCAAAATTGAGCACAATCCAAGCTTTACAAGGCTGCAACTTCTCCATAATAACTTGAATCGACAAATTCTCTTCAAGAACAATCCTATGAGCCCTCAATATGAAATAGAACTTGTTCAGCTGCTCTTGCCTAATGACTCCAAGCTCCACAGTGATTTGCATTGTAGCAGGAGAAATCTATGAAACAAACAGCTTGGAAATTATCAACGAAGACCACCCAGATGAATATATATTGTCCCCAGTAACATCCCAGCAGGTCGTTTAGCAAAGCTCAAATAATCAGTCGAGCAATCAAAGAAAATAAACCAGAAAAGTGAATTAGAAATAGCATATGATAATACATATATCTCATAAGCAAACCTAAAATAGTTATATAATATCTATCCACACATACTTTACCGTGAATATAGTGTGAATAAGAAATCAAAGAGCACATATGCCCCTTAAGTAGAATATCTGCTTTAACTATTTCATGTCAATATAATTTGTTGAGTTGACACACAAACAACTACAGTAAGATAATAACTTGGAATGATAATTAACAGAAAAGTATGTACAAACACAAGCATGTTTGCATAGCAGCACATTTGCATCACAGCACAACATAATATGCATGAAATTAATGTGGTCTTAATAAGAAAAAAAAACTTTTCCATATGTGGACAATCTAATTGGAAAAAGGAAATCTCATTAAGTTCAATATGATAGTTTTAAAATGATATGCAAAGCATCATTACTAAGGAAGAGGCGTTATTATGATAAATCAGTTATATTAGCTTGGATGAAAAAAAATTAGCAATAAATGTGGCATATACTTGCTCAGGAGTTTTTTCATGATACCGATTATGAGTACACCTTGCGCAAGCAGCTTCTTCACCCTACCACTTGTATAAAGTTCAAACAGGCACCCATGCGCTTTAGCAATAAGACATGTTCTCAATGCACATAAACTAAACTCTGCCATTGCCCTGTTAAATAGAATCTAAGAGGATATGTCCATGAGTTGAATCTCTTCTTGCAAATGACTCATCAACAAAAGGTCGCGTGCAGTTGAGAACTCATCAAAGATAGCATGATGATATATGTCACAAAGCATTGCCCTTGCCTTGGTTCTCTCATCCCCATACCTATAGATAAAAGGCACATGAAATCCTAGGTCATATGTACAAGCTGTATTTTGCTAACGCACTACCAAATAATGGGTCTACAGGGACGGTTTATAACCGTCTCGCTAGACAATAAAACCGTCCTCATAGGTCTAAGGGAACGGTTACTCATCCAATACCTTTGCTGCCGTAGTGTTTGGTTTAAGGGGACGGTTCATGATCCAAGTGGCGCGGTTCTTGAATTGTTCCCGTAGACAACATTTGGGGACGGTTTAACTATGAGGACGGTTCATATTTTTACAGATGGTGACAGTTATTTGGCAACGGGAACGGTTATTTTTTAAAGCTACCGTGACGCTTACACACCAAGGGGGATAGTTTTGAGTTTGACCTAGGAAGACGGTTTTATTGTCTATGAGAACGATTTTGTTTGTGATCTATGGGAACGGTTTTTATACCTAAGGAGACGATTAGCAATGGGGACGGTTTTTAGCAATGGGGATGGTTTTCAGATGTAAAGATATAGGAACAGGTATATATAGCAAAGGGGACGGTTTTTATTTTTGACCGTGCAAAAGCAAATCATCCAGATATCACATTTTGACCCGCAGTTTCAAAATTAAAGAACAAAACAAAATGAAAGCTCCATGATTTATACCTGCTCATGTCACAAACAAAGAAATGAAACTCCAAATTGTGCAAGCAAATTAACCACCAAACATAAAGAACAATTCATTGGATCATTACAATGACTTTAGTACAAGATTTTTCTTTTGTCCAAAGTACATGACTAAAAGTACTCTTTCATTAAAACAAAACGTGTCTTCTGTTTAAAGGTCTCCATTGGTATACATAATTTGTAAATTGTCTGGATAGAGCTAATCTCACAGTAAGTGAAAAGCACGTATGGATTAACCTGTTCAGCCACCATCAATTTTTCTGCATAAATTTAGATAAAAAGATAAAAATAAGATTATATTCATTGCAAGATTCAGTCACTTAAATATATGCTTTAAAATTTAAAATGACTAACTACGTATGCTTTAAAATTTGTAAATGTCTGCATAAATTTTAGCCTAAGCCTAAGAAAGGATTAAAGATCCTTCATTATTTTTTTAACAAATGGCCCATTCATATATACACCCCTGCATGGGAAGTGTTACAGATAATAAGATGAGGCTCAAGCACCATTCAGATTTACTGGGACCAACTTTGGCCCCTTATCCTTCCATGACTTGCTCAAATCCACTCTCTAGATCCACTCTAACCCGCTGATTTCTGCAAGGACTATAGGGATAAGGAAAGAAACGGATAAGGAAAGAAGATATCAAAAGTGGTAAATGCTGACATTACACACTATAAAGAAAGTAGAATTTGGCAGTGACAGTGGATCTTGCACTGGTGGGAAGTGGGGGTCATTTCCAGAATGAGAGGGTGTGAATTTCATGGTGGTGATGCTGATAATGGGAGGCAGAACAGGAGGAGAAACTGAAAGAATCTATTTATTGTTTGGAACTAAGGGGGTGTTTGTTTGCATGCAAGTGAAAGATGAAAGTGAGGAAGTTACTTTCATTTAACAATTAAGGTGTCTGTTTTCATGTAAGTGGTTATGAAAGTGAGATGTAAGAAAGTTGCCACATAAGATTTAATGCAATTTTGACTTCCCCTAAAAAAGTGGTGAAATCACATGAAAGTAACAAAAAGGTAACTAATTTAATTAAATAATTTTAATTATATTTTCTAATTAATCTTATTTTGCCACATCATCTTCACATTGCACTTTCGATAATAATTTAATTTTTCAAACAAACATTGTATTTCACTTGCGTGCTGACATGGATGTAAAAGTCATTTGCAAAAAAAAGTGACTTACATATTTTAAATTCACTTTCAGATTGCCAAACACCCCCTAAGCGTAGCAAATTTAGAGAGAAAACCATCTCTTAGCAAAAGTCCACACATATTTATAGGGTGCAAGTGTAGACAATCATAAGTGAATGCATTAGCAAATAAGTCTTGGATTAGAACAATAATATGGAGTGGCTGTTACAAATAAAAAATTATGTTGTAATCCCAGTCCTCGAACCCATCGGCAGACAGCACATCGTTCAGTAGTCCATTTAGCATCTACAGGCTCGTATGCTTCTGTTAAGATGAAAAACTACTATAAGGAACTTTATTTGGCTATGGCCTTGAGAACATTGTAATTGTTTGACACAATAACCAACATCAATAGCTAAATTAAACACCAAAAGAAACAAGGAAAATTGTTTACCTTGTAAAAGAGCGAACAACTTTCATTTTCATACCTTCAGAGAAGGTCGTTTTCCATTATTTGCCGAAACTGTATTGTAATGATCTAGCTGCAGGTAGGCAACAAAGTGAAACATCAGATTCTCAAGCAAATGACTGGACAAAAGAAATAATCACAGTAATGCTAAGGGATGACAGTATATCTAAAAGACAAACATACCAAGGGTTAACACACACAACGATCATGCATACCCCCACACACATGTATAAGCGCACACATATACATACAGAAAGAGGGGTGGACTGGGAGAAGAAAAACAAAATTATGTATAATGACAGCATTTCAGGAAAACAAACGCTAAGAAGTGTAATAGATTGGTCACACATAATATTAAGGTGCAGGACAAATTCAAGAAGCATATTAGAGAATTACAATAAATATGTTAAAGAGCTTTCATTGGGTATTGTTTATGCCGGACATAATATATGTTAGGAAATATGAACTGTTTAGATAGTAATTAACACGAATTAAGTTTTAAACAGTTAATAGAAATTAGATAAAAACAGATAACTGTTATAGCTCAGAAATGAAATTCAAATGAAAGTAAATAAAAGTTAGAAATACGGCCTGATGGTCGAGGCGTGCAAGCACTGTCCCAAGAATCTAATTGCCCCCTCTCGTACAGAGCTACGCGGCAAAAGTTCCTGGAGATACAACGACCCTCGGTCAGGCGACCTCCTTCTCGTCGGCACGAGCTTCAAGAAGGCTTTGTGAACTCTTCTAGACTTTCAGGGAACTAGCAGAATATAGTAGCAAGTATAGAGTAGAGAAGAAGAGGTTTTGCGTTTTTCACTTTGTATCAAACTCTTCGGGTTTAGGTCCTTTTATAGGGTTAAAACAGCCGTTATTCATAAACCCGCAATTAATATATTTTTAATCACGTTAATAAATTTTAGCTGTTACAAAATCAAAATATTTCCGTTACGAAATAAATTCGCAAAATATTTATCACGTTTTTAATCACGTTAATAAATCTTAGGCGTTACAAAATATTTCCATTACAAAATAAATTCATTAATCACATTTTTTAAACTGTTCCAATTAGCAAAAAATAAAAATAAAAATGTAGCAGATTAAGAGCCCATTAATCCGGAGCTGCATTCGTGTCCGCAGGTCGCATACCCAAAAGGCAATCCTGGCACTCGGTCAGGAAAAGCTTACCTGAGAGACTATGGCCAGAACGCTCTAGAGGCCGATGAACAGCCCCAAGACGCTGGGGGTTCTGTTCCGAAAAAGCCAGTGGACAAAGGAAAACAGAAGGAGCTCATTATTCAAAAATAAAAATGTAGCAGATTAAGAGCCCATTAATCCGGAGCTGCATTCGTGTCCGCAGGTCGTGTGCGCGCGCCACCCGACCCGACCCTGAGCCCGAGCTCGGCCCAGCCGACGCGCGCGTGTGTGGTGTGGAGCATAACATTTGTTTTCTTCTAGGCATAGGAGAGAAAGTGAATGCTTATAAAGAGCCTATCTTCCCATCTCTTTTCCAATGTGGGACTAAAATTTTCCTCTTTTCCTCTACAAACCCAAGTTTTAAGTTACAACTCCAACAATCCCCCACATAACTTAAAACTTAAAATAATTCAGAAAAAAATAGAATAAAAATAAATAAATAAGATTGCTGGTTCCCTTATACTATGTAATAGGTGGAGGTACCTTTCGGTTTGAACCTTCACTTAGTGACAATTGTATAGATCCGTGAGAGCTTGGTGGACTTCGCCTTGAACCAGTCCCATTTATCGGATTTTTACAGAAAGCACACATAGTACAGTTTTGAAGAATTCTAAGCAGGTTGCGCTATTATCGGCCTTGCGCAGGTATCTTTCATGTGTGTTACTAGGGAGCAGCCCTGATCCCATAGTCACGGCCTCACAACTACACACATATAGGTGAATCCTAATAAGGATGCGAGCAAGTAAGCATCCTGCCTCATGGGTCTTGGATTCATTAAGAGTTTAACTCAACCTTTCACTTGCTTTTTATGAGCACTGATCACCCTAGGGATGGGAGCAAATAAATTCAGTGCTCCTCACAATTAATCACTCATTCAGTTTGTTTCTACCCATTGAACCTCTACGAGGTTGGGTTGTCACTGCAGTGATTTTTCTTATGGGCTTAACCCCATCCCCCTCGATGATTCTAGGACCACTGTCCTAGTTAAGCCTTTAGTTAAATGATCTGCAAGATTTTTCTCTGATCTTACAAAGTCTAAGGCTATTATATGATTTTTCATCTTATATCTCAAGGATTTGTGTCGCACTTTCAAGTGTCGATTCATTTTCACATCTGCATTCTCTTGATGGCATTTGTCAATCGCTGACCTGCAATCACAATGAATAGAAATAGCTGGTAATAGTTTTTGCATTAGTAGAATTTTAGTTAGTAAATCTTTTAACCATTCAGCTTCTATACTAGTAGTATCAAGGGCTATCATTTTCGATTCCATTGTACTTCTAGCCATTACAGTTTGTTTAGTAAATTTCCATGAGACAGCTCCTCCTAAAAGGAACACAAATCCCGTGGTGGATTTTACATCTACTAAGTCACTAATCCAATTTGCATCTGAATAACCTTCTAGTACAGATGGATAACCTTTATAGTGTAAACCATAATTCATAGTTCCTTTTAGGTATCTCAAAACTCTTTCTAGAGCATCCCAATGACTCTTATCAGGATTTGATGTATATCTACTAAGTCTATTTACTACATAAGCAATGCCAGGTCTTGTGTAGTTTGTTAGAAATCCTAATGATCCGATTATTTGTGCATATTCTCTTTGAAATTGAGGATAACCTGTATTTTTCTTTAGATGTACATTAGGATCATATGGAGTAGAAACAGGTTTACAGTTTGGATCATAAAAGTTCTTGAGAATTTTCTCTATATAATGTGATTGTGACAGCACATCCATTCTCATTCTTCAAGATTTTGGGCCCATTAATCCGGAGCTGCATTCGTGTCCGCAGGTCGTGTGCGCGCGCCACCCGACCCGACCCGACCCCAAGCCCGAGCCCGGCCCGGCCGGCGCGCGCGTGTGGTGTGGAGCATAACCTTTGTTTTCTTCTAGGCATAGGAGAGAAAGGGAAGGCTTATAAGGACCCCTTTTTTCTATCCCATTTCCTATGTGGGACTAAACTTTCCCTCTTTTCCTCTACAAAGTCAAGTTTTAAGTTATCTTTTATTATATAATTCCAACAATCTAATTTTGACACTGCTCTTTCAGCTTTTACTTTTGGAACCTGTGTCGCTCCCACTCACTAGGTGGTAGAGTTTGCCCCTTGCAAGAGCCACAACGACATAAAACTCTGAGAAAGCTAAAAAAAAACTTATGCAATCAAACATCATATAATAATTTCTCTCCTTGAGCAAAATGAAACTGGTATTACATATTATAAAGTTGTAAAGCTTTGAATATAGTGAAAGAAATTCGTTTAATCCATTGTACATGATCAAACCATGTTAACTGATTCTCCCACATTTTATTCTCAATAGGAGCAACCTTTAATATAAACAGACCGTTGTGATGGCTATTTTGAAGGAATGCAGATTTACATGGAAGTTGGGAACTAGGTTCTTAACTCGAGACAGAATATTCAAGATAGATCACCAAAGAATAAATATAAAAGTGTATAAAGATGACATATCACTCAAGGGATGGATTTCAATTAAAAATAAAGGTATATAAAGATGACATATCACACAAGGGATGGATTTCAATTGAAATAACAGGCCAAATAGGGACAAGTTGGAAGAGGTAAAGAATTTCTCCACAAAACAGTATTCAATTGAATAATCTACTGTAGTGCTAATAGGTGATCCCGGAAATATATAGAAGGCTGGTTTAAAAACTACAGGCATACCCTTTAAGTTTTAATCGGACTCCACACAGCCCCAAAAGAATAAATAATAATAGCTAATAATTAACTCAACAACTGACAATTTAAGTGCTAAAACACTCACCAGAAAACTAACTTCATCTTCTAAGTTCAAACACTTTATCCCATGGCAATATATGTAGACAATCGACAAGAATCAGAATATTAGAAATGTTAAGTTGATTCAATATTATTTCAACTCTAAGCATACTGGCGCTGCAATGCAGGAAACTTCTTCTAGCATACCACTTCTAAAACTGGCTAGAAAGCTAATTTTAAGTTAATAACTTTCACACACTAGCTATATAGTGTCAGTTAGATGACTGCTATAGTTCATTCCAAGGACAAAACTTGACCAGCTTGGACCAGATTCGGCTTGGGACAAACCCAAATGCATATTGGCTGGGTCTGGTTAATCTTGGAAGATGATGGATTTTACATGATAGTCTAGTTGAGCATCATGTACTTCTTAATGTCTGTATCTAGCAACAAGATATACTCAAAAAATTTCAGCATGATGCAACTTATAGTTTTGTGACACTAAGATAAGCAAAACATACATTTACATGCATTGAGCAACTAGAACTTATCAACAAGAATACAATTTCACAAAAGCCAGAATGTACCACCCGAACATGCCTTAAAGCTGGGACGCATTAGTCCATCATCTGTACTACTTCATACAAAGGGTGCAACACTTGGAAAAAATTCAGGCTTTCTTGCTGAGACAATGACCTGTGAAATGTCTATAGGACATTTGTTAAATAAGAACAGCTTCACTAAAGTCTTGATGCTAATATGATTGCTTGATTGATTCATAGAATCATACTATTGAACTAGATAATGCACGTGAAACTAAGTTGCAGTTAAATATTCTCATAAACCTCACTATGTCAAAAAGGTCACGCCATGTCATATCATTAGGAAGAAACCTATTGAAGGCATAATGCATCATCTTATTCGTGTAATGATAGTCTGAGTTGGTAATTAATAGCAACCTCTTCCCAGCCTGACAGCCAATAGAAAATGAGTAATGAAAAAAAAAGTTTTAAGCATGACTAGCTGAAACTGATATTGGATTAAGTTAAAGGAGATATTTATGAACCTCTTTTTGGTTCAAAAGAGCGAAAGGGAGCTCTGTGTCAGGCTTGACAAACCATTCTGGTTCAGCCATTATCTCACTCTGCAAGATCACCCAGCAAACATCTATCAATGGTCAAAGAGAAATTATTGAATATAATGAATGTGAATGTCACCTTAAGTTGGCCTTCAACATGAGCTCTGAAAAGGGCTTTAGAAACAGCCTGAAATACAAAGCAGCATTGTAAGATTATAACTATACCTATTATAGTTAATAAGTTCAGTGTGTTGCCTTGAAAAGCCCTTTATAGTCAAATGGTCCAAGTTCAGATGATATAGCTCCTTGATCCAATCTGTCAACCATCTGCACAGAGAAACCAAGTAATGTCATTCTCAACTATATGGAACTGCTCTTTTTATTTGATGACTGACAAGACATTAGTCGGATAAAATAAACATAAGAAGGTAGTAGCATGATCCGTTATAACAAGATAATAAAATGGAATCTGAAACTTTGAAATTCAGAAGGAAACAACTAAGAATAGATTTTACTTGTCCATGGAGCTTTATGCTGCAAATTGGTCAGAACAGGTCAAAAAGGAGAAGACCCTTTGAAAAGTTGTTCGTGACCAAATGCACAAGTACAGTGTTTTCTGCTGCTGGATATCTTTACATTGAGCCATGATCATCAAATTAATGTCCATTGGGACCTTCATGTTTATTGCTGCTGGATATCTTTCCATAGAGACATGATCCTCAATATTTGATAAAAGCATAGAGATTTCATTAACTATGGTGTCATCCTCAAATATTTATTGAGATTAATATCCTCAGAATTGAATAACTAAGTACAATGGACACCTGGAAACGATCTTAATTACTCATTTGTTCAACAGAAATTCATACTATTTGATGTTCCACTTAATCAGAACAAGTATAAAACAGATACCATTTAATCTGAAAGGTAAGAAACAGCGATATTTATGCAAATAAGCACTACATGACATGTCTTAAACTATTAACAAGCTAGAGAGGCTGATGAATGTGAAGGTTTTACTTTTTTAAATTTCCTATCCAAAGTAGAATAGGAGAAAAATATACAGTAGATGGTCAAAAAGAGAAAACTACATGAAAAAGAGAGTAATCACCTGCATATACATTACAGCTTCTAACACAGAGAAGAGAGTATTCAGAAATTCCCATCGACTTTCCTTCCGAAGTTCAACCAGTTCTCCCCCATAAATCTTGCTTTTGTACACACAGGGTTATATGATTAGAAGAAGCAAAAGAAGAAGGTTATATCAATTTTGACTGCCAAAAGCTATGACACACAAAATAATTACATTACACGGACAGAAAAAATAGAGAAAATAAACTAATTTAAACAAAAATTAAGAACATATACTAATTCAAATTTGAGGATTTACCTTATCCAGTAAAGATGTAGAATTTTCAACCACTTTCAAAGATCAACCGAGACAACAAGGCCCTAATGTGTAAAATCAAATAAGATTTTCATTAAATAGAGAAAAAAGGAAAAATTGAAGCCCTAGGTTTGATGATTGAAAAGGAGAGAGATAAGAACCCCAAATCACAGGATACTAGAGGGGATGGCCTTTAAATCGACGAACTTGTCGGACGAGAGGAAGTGAAGGAGAGGCGCGGCGGACGGGGGAGTCGACGTGAGGAGGAAACGAAGTCGAGGTGGTCAGCGGACGCGCGGGAGTGCAGGATAGCGAGGAAACCCTAGAACTCAGTGAGAAGTCTTCAGGGGGATTTGCTGCTGCTGATCGATCGGGTGAAGAGCGACTGTAGGAAAACTCCTCAGGGACCCCAAAATAGGGGACTCCTGAGGGGACAGGTGAGGTGTTAGCCCCTGGGGGGGCTGATTTACTGTTCATGAACAGTAAATCACTTCCCCCGGGGGCGGGGGCTGACACCTCACCTGTCCCCTCAGGAGTCCCTATTTTGGGTCCCTGTAGCACTACTCGCGACTGTATATACGAGAGAAACAAAATAAATGCTCTTTTGTTAAAGTTTGGGCGTGAACAAGCCCACGATAAAACCGTCCTTTTAGGCCACTGAATTTTTTTTTACAAGCCTAATTCAAGACCAACGCTTTATTGTAAAGCGTTGTCTTAGAATCTCTCGTGACGGTTGGTACCGTCTCATAACCGTTCTCTTAGGTGGCAAAATAACATACTTGTAAATGATGTGCCAGCCTCATGTTTTTTTGGATACAAACTTTTCTATGGCCAAAGTCCTTTAAAACATCCTTTATGGCATCTTCCCGTTTTTCATCAAGTGCCTGTTTCTTAAAGAGTATAATAACACACATCAATTCAGAAGGAACACAAGGAATATTATCAAAATATACGAAGATATGTTCTTGACAAAGCACACAAACCATTCGTAAATCAAATAGCCGCCACTCTAACACATGTTTTTCCTTCAAAAGCTGTAGCTCCTAGAATTAATAACAAAAGAAGAAGTTGAAGACCAATATTCTCCAATTATATGTATAAGTGGAAAATTCTGAGTTCATGTCAAATCCATACTTGTTCACATGCATCAACAATTTGTTCACGAAGCATCATAATTTCCTCTTCTTGTAACTGTAACCTCGTTTGAAGTTCCTATCCAATAACTTGAAGAGACAAATTAACAACCCCAAACAAGAACAATATCCAAAAAAAAAAAAAGGTTTAATTGCACTTAACACCCTAAAGCTCCGTCGATTTTCAAATTCAATGAGTGGTTAAAAAAAATCAAACATTAGGATATTAAAAGTGCAACTAACTGAAAAAAGCCAAAATTTTCAATAACAATTACCGTGAGCTCTAGATCCACGACAAATTATTCTCTTCAATTCTGGCTTTTCTATTAGATTCCCTTTGCAAATGATGCCTACCAAGCAATAAACACTTCAATCGAACAAATAAAACACAAAACCTCAACAATTAGCAATAAACAAAGCCTAATTTGAGTCTAACCTGATCGATGAATCCGAGGGTTCCAAGAAAGGTAAAGAGAAATAAATTAATTGATTGTAGCGTTTTTGTATTAGCCCCTTCAATCTTCAAGGATTACAAATTAAAAGTACTCTAGAGAGGGGTGAATAGGGTTATTGTTAATCTTATTAGATATTGATGCCGATTAAAAGTTATTATCAAATATATCCTAATAATCTTGATATTCAATTTGATATATGCAAGGATATATGAACAAGAGTAAATAAATACAAGTGATAGGGCACAAATGACAAACGCAAACACAAGATATCATCACGGAGTTCGGTCCCCACGACCTACGTCTCCGCTCCTCACCTCGAAGAGATCTTCACTATCACAACCGGGTTTTCTACGCTCACCCGAATAACGTTTACACCTCACACTCGGTTTTCTAGTTCACTGAAAACTTTACAATTTACACACTTGCCATTACACTTTACACCCTCTAAGTGTTGGTCTCTAGCATGTGTCTCCCTCAGGTGTTAGGAATTACAACCTACCTCTAGGCATTACCACTTACCCCACTCCCCTTGGGACGACCCCATCTCTCACCACACACTTCTCTCGGTGTACAAGTGTAATACAATGTGTAACTCACAATTAGGCTCAATTTCAATAAAATGTTCTCTACAATAGGTGAGAATTCAATGTAAGCTCAATCTCACTAAATCACAATCGCACAACACAATATATGATGTATGAAATGCTGGGTGTGTGTGATAAAATGAGTATAAATAAAATCTAACTCAATTAGCAAACTACCAATAATAAGAATATGAAAATCAATAATAAAATTACTAGAAAAAAGAGTTAGAAAAACTTCTCTATAAATACAAAGAGGATGAAGAAGATTGAGGATGACTTCCTCAATTGAAAATACAAGCCTCCTCTTTGTAAACTTAAACTCTAAACTTAAACTTGAGAAACAAACTTTTAAACACTTAAAACTCTTGTTAAAAATCCTCTTGAAAAACTTACTCAGAACTGAAATAGTGAGGGTATATAAAGGATGAAAAACCAAAGCTCAAAACCCAAGAAAACCAACAAAAATGATAAAATAACAAAGGCTTGAAATATAGTCGTTGGAGCTGGTCAGTCGACTGACGGGATGCATCAGTCGACTGATGAGCTGACCGTTGTATTCATTTTCCAGCTCATCAATCGACTGACGATCTTTATCAATCGACTGATGGATCATCAGTCGACTGGTCAGTCGACTAAAACAAAACAAAAACTATTTGATGATTCCAGGCACTTTCATCAGTCGACTGATGTCATCAGTTGACTGATAACAGAATATCAGTATGAATTAATTTTTGAAATGAGTTTCAAGGCTCTATAAAAAATAGCAAATAAATTCCAAATAATGTAAAACTTTGGAAAAAGTTTATAATCATGAATATGAACATGTTCGAAAAAGAATTTTTCAAATTGCTCTTACCATTTGTGAAAACTCAGAAATATTCAAAAGTGCAAAAATACATGTTTTTTCAAATATGTTGATTTTGACATTTTAGCTCAAATCAAGTTCTGAAAAATTGTGTAATGTTTTTATGGACATAATGAAAGATGTAAACAAGGTTTGTATAGTCCAAAACATATTTGAATGTATTTTGTATAAAAATACTTATTTTTATGAAAATTCACAAATGTAATGTGTCTGTATATTTGAGCTTATAGAATTAACACACATTATATAAACCTTAAGCTAATTTACCCAAGCTAGATAGATCTTCATTGCAGCTTGTCTTGGTAAACATGGAAGAAGCTTGAACTTAGATCTTGACTAGTATGCATAGGCTTCATTCTACTATTTCCTTCCATCCTCCAATGGATATGATCGTGAAAGCTCTAGTCCATCCATCCTCCAAACATATTGTTTGTCTTCAATACGTAATAAAAACATAAACACTAGACAAACAATATTAGGAATTGTTTGTAATTATCAAAACAAGATTAGAAGATGTAGGCTTATAACATGAGACCTAACAATCCCCCCATTTTTTATGATGACAAACAAACTACACAAAGAGTATATAGGATATACAATAAAGCACAATATTCTTAAAATATACTCACAATCCACTTGTTTCTCCTTTTTTGGCAACATCAAAATGGGGAAAACAAAAGAATAAGAGAGCGAAAGCTCCCCCCTATCATAAAGCATAGGTGAGTATAAAACAACAAAAAAAAGATATAGGGATTGCTCCCCCTATCAAAATGCCATATAGAAAATGTGCAATTTATGAACATGACAAAGAAATGTGAGTAAGCATAGAATATCCTAAACACAACTCACATTAAAGAAGACCAAGTGAACACATATGCATGTATCATGAAGATAAGGTGCCACAAGAGTCTAAAACATAAAACCTAAAAGATTTCAAAAAAGTGAAAGAAAATCAAATGTTAAATGATTTAAAAAATTTACAAATTATCCACCATGAAACATGATTGATTGAGAGCACAAATAGACATATAAAAGGTGTCTCAATATCCAATCATACAATATTATTTGGATAAAAACAAAAATAGATCATGAAATTAAAAAAAAATCTTGAACCTCATGAAGGTTCCAATAAAAGCCTCAAGTGATACTAAAAGAAATTCAAAGTGTATATATTGTATCATTTTTGACAAAAACAAGAGAGGTGAGCATAACAAGCTCTTGAAACAAGTTTTAACCCAAATAAAGATTTTAGCATCCGGTAAACCTCCCGGGGGTTGCTCAAACATATAACCCTCTCATATGCAAATACAAAACAAAGTATATATCTAAAAAGTGTTTGATCAAAAGAAGAAATCGTTTTTGTAAAACTTGATCAAACCATATAAGAAATACATTATAAACCACAAATAGATGATCCGGAAGCTCAAACACATAAATATCATCATAAGAGTGTTTCATAATGATCCTATAAACATAAACACATAGTTTAAACATAAAAATTTGAAAACAAGGTATAATAACAAAATTAATCTTTTAGCATAAAAAATCATCTTGATAGAAATTGTATCAATTCATGAAGGATGAAAACATGAAAATCTATGAAAGAGAATCATGAAAAAAATATGAATGATAACTTTTCAAATCAATGAAAACATGAAAATCTATGAAAGAGAATCATGAAAAAAATATGAATGATAACTTTTCAAATCAAATACCAAATATAAAGAAAGAGAATCATGAAAAAAATATGAATGATAACTTTTCAAATCAAATACCAAATATAAAATTGTTTTCACATTGTTTATAAAAATTAAATAAAAATCATCTTTATGAACATGAAAAATTAAAAAGCTAAAAAATTTGTTCTTAAAGAATTAAACGTGTTTTGGTACCCAATTAGTCTTGGTACCTAAGAGGCTAGGGACATGACCCCTATCATTAAAGCTTAAAGCCCTAGGGTTATGATCCCTTTTGGGTATATTTTGTACACGGATCCGATCATAGCAATAATTATACAAATGACTCATTTGATTACAATAAGTGTAATGCAGAGGATGTATTTGTTTATGTTGACCATGTGGATAAGCACGTGGAACATTTGCAAACAAAAGTAAATTATTTGAAGCTTTTTACAAATACGAAATATTTTTAAACAATCGTCTTTTTGGAACATTTTGTAACTTAGAAGATTTTTTTCAAATCATAACAATATTTTGCAAGATGTCCAAATCTACCACAAATATTACACTTAAACACATGTGGTTCTTTAGAAATATTTGGCAAAAGTGAATTTCTTTTTAAATCAAAACAATACTTGGCCAAATGACCAAAACGACCACAATATTCACACTTACACACATGAGCATGTTTATGGTTATCACTATGTGTGTGTGCATG